ATCGGAATTTGGCATACCGTTACGGTACCTTGAGATGTTTCTAGTTCTGTCTGCCAAGATTGCAATTCGAGGATACTCCTCCGGATTCTGTACTGCCAGTAAGTCCTGACCCGGCTGAGAAGGCACTGCCAAGCGATCTAAGTTTCGCTGAGGATTTCTCAAAGGGTCCGGGCTTTGGTCAGCTGTGTTAAAGGTCTTCAGCCATGTTTTGTTAAAGCTCCTTTGCCTTGGGACGGAGAGGTGAGTGACAGATAACTGCACGGACGATTTTGGGGGGTATCAGGCCTCCTTCATGTGGAACTTGGGTTGTGGGGTTTCAGGTTTGTGAGAGGGCCTGGTGCGAATGTCTTGAGTGTTCAAACTCGCAAAGCAGGATTCTGTCATTGCCGCCTTTGCATTCTGGCTGCAACTCCTCACCTGTGCCAGGCTCGGGTAACAACCAATCCTTTTTTTAAGCGGCGTCGCGCGGCAGCAACTTAGGGATCAATGGTCCGGTTTCGGGTTGGGTCTAGTCAGTTTGAATTTGGGACGTGCGGGCAGTGAGTGCGTGGTGTGCAGATTCACGTCGCTTGAGCTTCAGCTTGAAGCCTGCTGCAATGGGCTGCTCCCAACCCCTCACATGCTTGGGATGAGTGTCCGCCACCGCGTATCCTCGGGCCTATACCCCGAGTTTTGAAGTCCATGTTGCAAACTCCTTGCTATTTCAAGGCCTGGAAGCTGCGAGGCAGGCATCCATGGGCTGCTCAGCTCGATAACATTGACTCCGCTCAAGTGGGAGTTTGCTCTCTTTTGCACAAGCCAAACCTGGTGAAGGATGTGCACTGCAGGATTCTAATGATTCTTATGTAGTGCATGCATGCCAGAACTCCAAAGATGACGTTTAAGCCAACCCTTTTGCCGTGGGTGACGTGCTGGCCACTTATGGACGCAACCATGCTGGTGGGTAGGACGATGACTACGTGACTAGAGCCTATGGCCAGAAGTGTGACCACGATCGTGGCTCTGAGTGTGACCGTGAGGCCTTGCACTCACACGCACACCTACTGTAATTCCCAGCGATAGTTTTGCTGCTGCTGTACGACTACCACTAGGACTAGGACGATGCCACCACCACGACCACGACCTCTCTCATTGTAACTGGTTGCTGTTCCTCCTCCTCTGACTTGTACTACTATTACTACTACTATTACT